CCCCCACCCCCGTTGGCAGCCGTTGTGTAGCAGTGACTCAGCGGCAGCCGCAGCAGGATGGTGCAGCGCTGGCTGGGAGGGTGGAGAACAGCACCAGGCTGCCCCCTAGAGCAGGCAAGGCCCAGTGCAGGCTGCCGGCCTCACCTGGCTGCTGTGGGAGCTCACAGCTGGGCTGGGGGCTCTGTTCTGTACCTGTCCTGCAGGCTCACCCCCCACCATCAGCAGACACACACTCACCACCATTGTTACACTATGAGACACACTCACTATCATGACACTGACACACGCACTCACCACCATAATCACATGGAGACACACACACATTCACTCACCCCCCTTATTGCCCTATTAAACACACACACTCATCCTCATTACACACCGTTTTGGGCAGGGAAGATACGAGACATTACATTACACTGTCATGACACTGACACACACACTCACCCATCATTCTTACACTATGAGACACATATGCACTCACTATTGTTACACTATGGGAGAGACAAACCCATGCTATCATGACACACACTCACCATTATTACACTATGAGACAGTATCATTACATCATCAGACGTGAATGCACACACACATCCTCCTCAGACACGTACCCGCTGGCGCTGACTGGCTGGAGCCTTTACTACTTTGGACAGGACATCAGTGGGTGGCAAGTTTTCGACAGAAATACTTCTCAGTTGGCTTTGGATGAACTCATGTTTAACTTGGGGCTTTCTTCCCTTCACTGTAGTAATTCTAGTTACTCAGAGCAGCTGTTCTGAGTGCCTAGGCCTTCTTGGGTAGCAGGGTGGCACAAATATCCTTCTCGGGGCGTTGAAGCAGGTGCTTTCGGCCCAGGTTTTTGCAGACTGTCATGTTAACACTGCATCTGATGCAAACGGAATACTTAAGGCTGTACAATTGGAAATGGAGCGCTAAAGACAGCGCATGGCAGGCAGTTGCCGCACCCGGTACATGTCTGTATGGACCAGGAGCTGGGGGTGCTCGCAGCATGCTAGAAAACAAACCTGGCTTCCCAGAGTGGCTCTGTAGGAAGGAGAGAGAAGACCCGGCAGAGCAGGGATTTCCTGGGTTTTCTTTCTTGAAGCGACTAGTTTCGCGCTGCAGCTTGATGTAACCCTTCCGTCGTCTTGTTCTGCAGATGAGTCTAAACGTGCAGGTGATCCCTGTAGCGTCTCCACTGAGGAAGAAACGGCTGGACTTCGAGGATACCCCTGACTCCGAGCCCTCAAAGCCCAAGCGCCCACGGTTGGGTCCCGTGTCAGGACTCACCCCATGCCTGCAGCCCCTTGTGCAGTCCCCTTGTGCCGTGGAACAGGACTCCAGGGTCTTGCAGATTGGACCGTACATCCTTCTGGAGCCCAGGGAAGGGGGCCACTCCTACAGGGCTGTGCACAGGCACACGGAGGCGGAGTACAGCTGCAAGGTACAGCAGGGTTTCTGGTGCCAGTCTCTGCTCCCCCACAACAAGGAACTCAGAGCCTGGTCTTACTGGAGAGTACATGCCCTGGGGAAGTCTGTGGGCTTCAGATTGTTTATGGGAAAATGCCAGGGCACTTCATGCCCTGGTGGAGATGTCCCTGGGGGCAGCTCTCTGAGGACACCTGCGCCAGCCCCCCTGGCACTGCTCTGTTAGACTGGCAAAGGGGGCAGGTGGGCCTCAGGGCCAGTATGGGCTGTGGCTGCAGAGAACAGCATTGGCAAGGGGTTTGTTTGGAAAGTGTCTCCATTCCCAGCTGGGGTCCCCCTCAGGTTTATCAACTCCCCTTTCCAGCCTGTTGTCCAGTTCTCGCCCACGTCCTTCCATGAGCGGACAGGGGATGGGCGGACATGGGTCCTCTGATGCTGGGCAGGGAAGATACGAGACCCACGCTGGGGCTGGTGGGTTCCTGGTCCACGGGTCCCCTCTCCTTGCGCCTCACATTCCTCCAAGCAGTGCTGCCCCCTGGTGGCTACATTGTGAAATTTAAGACCCCTTGGACAGCATGGCACACAAGAGTGAGGTACAATACTGCAGCTCGGAGACCCCCTGCCCCCACTTAGACAGATCCCTAGCTCCCTTGCGGCAGCAGGATTGTAGACAAGAGGGAACGATTGCCCTGAGGCCTGTGCACGGCCCGGACCGCACCAGCCCCCTGCCTTTCTTTCCGGGCTGCTTTTCCTCATGCCCAGTGTCGTTTCTCTTTTAGGTTTATCCGGCAAGGAGTTACCCAGAGACGATAGCCCCTTACGGGCACCTCTCGCCCCACCCCAATGTGGCCCAGGTTGCCGAGGTGATCCAAGGGGACCAGAACGTCTACGTCTTCTTCCAGCCCGGCGGAGGTGACATGCACAGCCACGTCCGCCGGTGCAAGCGCCTGCCCGAGAGAGAGGCCGCTGGGCTCTTCCGACAGATGGCCGAGGCGGTCGCCCACTGCCACGACCACGGGGTCATCCTCCGAGACCTCAAACTCCGCAAGTTCCTCTTCGTGGACAGGGAGAGGTGAGGGCTGGCGTCTAGCTGAACCCTTCAGCATCAGGGGCCCTGCAGCGGGCTGGATGGGGAGCAGGACTCCTGGGTCCAGTGCATGGGAGCCCAGGGCCATTTTCCTCGTCCATACGATCGTTGTGCAGAGCCCAGCCGAGGCTCTGGAATGAGCTCTCCCTGCGTGCGGCTGCAGCCGCCTTGCTGGGGCAGCAGCTTATCCGTGCTAGTGGAGGGAGGGGTTCCTGGGCATGGCAGGCGCCTCACTTCCATTCGAAACCTGCTTCTCCAGCCAGGCTGAGCCCACGGGCCCCCTGCATGTTGCAGATGCTCCTGGGGCCTCATGTTTTGTTTCCCCGGGGCCCCTGGTCACAGCGGCATGGCAGTGAGCTAGCAGACCCCTAGAGTATAGCTCAGGGTCATTCTGGCTTCAGCTTTCGCTCTGGGCCCTATTCCTTGTATAGCTCCACAGAGGTCTGCTTGTGCCGCAGGGAATTCAGACCTTTGTATCCTTCCAGAGCCGCCAGGGCTTCGCGCTAAAGCCTCCTCCGATGGCGCCTCCCTCCAATCCCTGTCTTGGTCACTTAAGAAGTTAGTTCCCACCTAGTTTTCTGGGGCGGTACCATTGTCTCGTGCTGAGAGCTGCCGTCTGGGAGGCAGGACTCCCGGGGTCTAGCTCTGCGGCCTACCTCCCTAGCACGGTTGGACTGCAGCAGCTGTCGACAGGCTGATTTACTGGCGCTTTCCCTCTTTCTCTGCAGCACAAAGCTGGTGCTGGAGAACCTGGAGGACGCCTGTCTTCTGAGCGGCCCGGATGACTCTCTGTCGGACAAGCACGGCTGCCCGGCGTACGTGGGCCCGGAGATCCTCAGCTCCAAGAACTCTTACTCAGGGAAGGCGGCTGACGTGTGGAGCCTGGGCGTGGTGCTCTACACCATGCTGGTGGGGCGATACCCCTTCCAGGACACACAGCCTGCCATGCTCTTCAGCAAGATCCGCCGGGGCGTCTTCTCCATCCCGGACGGCCTCTCCCCCAAGGCCAGGTGCCTCATCCGATGCCTCCTGCGCAAGACCCCGGCTGAGAGACTGACGGCCCGGGAGATTTTGCTCCACCCCTGGCTAGCGAGCGGTGGTGCTGGCTCCGAGGACTCCTGCACAAACCCCTCTGGGGAGCAGGGGATGGAGCAAGTTGTGCCAGACACCTGGAGCCAAAAGGACGAGGAGGAGGAGGAGGAGGAAGATCTGCACAGTTAAGCATTCAGAGGATCCCCAAGGATGCATTACAAAAGGGGCCCTCCGTGCCCCCAGGGAACCTTAGACTGTCGGATGCCCCAGGCGAGCTGGGGCTGGTGACTGTTTGTCTAAGGGGGGCTGCTGCTCAGATCGGGATAACGCTGTGGCTGTGTCGGCCCCAGCAGGGCCCAGAGCCAGGACTTGCAAACCCAAGTGCCTCAGAGTGGGAGCTGTGGTTGTCCAGGCGCGTGTCTGAATCCTGCAGAGCGGGAAAGTGCCTTAGCCTCTGACACGGCGATTCAGGGCGGACGGAACTAAACGGGAGTGAGCCCCGAGCGAGCCCTGGTCTAGGGGGCTCCCACTTACTCGTGCCAAAGAACTTGTTCAAACTCTGATCACCAGCAGCGCCCTCCCAGAGGGATGGTGTGTTTCTCATTCCCAGACATGGGGCTCCGGAGGCAGGGAGCGGCCAGGGAACCGAGGCAGGCCCTGGCGTCTCCAGGTTCTGCACCAGTCCCTGTGGCCGCGTAGAAGCAGGATGGGTGCAGAGGGGGCTGAGCTCTGATACCAGCTTCCTGAAGCGGGGGTGTTGGGGGGGCCCTTTCCCAGAGGGCACAGGACAGCGGGCATGGGAGGGTGTTTGAGGAGCTCCTTGTCCTTGTCACCTGGGAACTGTGAGCTTTGCTGCAGCCAGGGCAGCGGCTCCGTGGGGCCTGGAGGGTAGAGACGTTAATGGGCAGAGCAGAGAAGGGAGAGGGGGATGCAGCTGGGTGGGAGCGTGAACAAGCCGGGGGGGGGGGGGGGGGGGGGGGGGGAGGGGTTCCAAGGTCACATCAAAGCAGAGCCCAAGAGCTGGATGCAGCCTGTGTAGCCCTGTGGGCCACCTCCCCTTCCCTTTGTAGCTGTAGCCTGTACAGACTACAAGTCCCAGCATGCAGTGCTCACCCTGAAGCAGAGGGGAAGGGGACACACTATGCTGGGGTGGGGCACAGGTCTATGCTAGTAGGGAGGGCGCCTACGGCCTGCCCCATTTGCCAGGCATGGCCCTTGGGCTCCTGGCAATGAGCAAATAAAGCCCCTGCCCAAGCTGTTCCCGTTGGGGCAGAGAGTGAGCCCTGGCTGGGGTGGGGGCACTATGAGGTCTCTGCACTATCGTGCCATGTAGCCCCCCCCCCGCCCCATCTTGTGCTGTGACTGCAGCAGGCTACCTTGGCTCTCTAACCTGCCCACTGGGGACCCTGCCCTCTGCTCCACCCCAGGAGCCTGTGCCAGGCCAGCCCTGCGCCATCCCCTCAGGCCAGGGGGCGGGGGGCCGGCAGCAGCCCAGAAGAACTTTGACCATACGTATCTCAGGGAGTTGTGAGGCAGCTGGTTTCTGGGGAGCGGCCGGCGTGCGCAGAATGGACCGGCCTGCTCCATCCCACTTAGCCCAGTCGGGCACCTGCTGCTCTCCCAGCGCAGGCCCCGGGCCTCGCCTTGCCTCTCCCGGAGCTGGGACTTCGTAGCGTGCGTTTTGTACCCCAACCATGTGTCGACACTACAGGGCCCAGCCCAGGACTCGTTTGTACACAGCACCATGTGTCTCTTTTTCTGTCCTTTGACAAATAAAAGGTTTGTACCACTGGCTCCTCACCTGTGCGCTGCTTGGAACTTCTGCGCCCCGGGTGCAGCAGAGATGGGCTCTGGTTTGGCTTTGCAAAGGCTCCTGACTCCGTGTGAACCCAGCCCATGCAGCTCAAGGGGATTTGGATAAAGTGTTCCTGGTCTGGAACCACCTCCAGGACTTGTATTCAGATTAAGTCATCCACGTGGCCAGGATCTGAATTAACTGTAGCTGCTCAGAAAAAAGGCCTGGCCATCCTTGTGATCAGGTCAGTAAAAACATCTGCTCAATGAATGGCGGGGGGCAAAAAATCAAACAAGACGTTTGAATGTACGTAGAAAGGGATTGAGAATAATCCTGCAAATATTGTAATGTCATTGTCCAAATCCTCCTGTCCAGGGATAGCACGTGCCATTCGGATCACCTACCTGCCTCTCTGCATCTCACCCACTGTGTAGGCACATGTCGAGCAGCTGGCGAAGGGCAGCAGGAACAGTCGGAAAGCCGCCTAAGGGAGGAGAGATTAGGAGTGTGTCATTTGAGAGAAGTTGAATAAGCAAGGAAATATCCAATAATGAACCAGGTTGAGAAGAGAAAGTGGATGCTTCTAGTTATCCTGTAGCACACCCCATGAACAGGGGCTATCTCAATAAATAAGGTGACGCATTTCAAACGTCTAAAAGGAAATATTTTAAATACTATGTATGATTAGCATGTGGAACTCCCTGCTACTAGACAGTTACCGAGTCCAAGGATTTCTCAGGCCTGGAAAAGGGATTAAGCATTGATATTGACAGCGGAAACAGCTGCAGTTACATCAGAGCGGATCGCTATTCATAGGGACATAACCCTTGTGCTACAGGGCACGTCAGCCCCAAAGCAGCAGAGCGCAGGAAGAAACTTCCCCAGGGACAGGTTAGCCTGTAGCTATCCACCAGGGGAGGGCTGACCCCTTCCTCCGGTAGCTAGGACTGGCTGCTGCTGGAGAAAGGACCCAGTGGACCATTGTCCTGATCCTGTGGCAATTCCAGAGCTCGTAGTACGAGAGAGCATGTTCCTTCCATCGCCAATCTAACACTCCCTCTTCAGTAGCAACTAGCCAGCTGCCTCCCCATGGAGCCAGGAGGAGAGGAATGCCCCCACCCCGGAAGAGACCTCTTTGTGAGTCTAACAACCTGCCCCCTGCCAGCACCAGGCCTGACTGCCTGCACCCTGGCATGTCTGGTCAGGCAGAGCTGGTTCTGGGGCCAGGCGCAGGAGAGCACGGGGGGGGGCGAACGGAGGGCTGTGCTTAGACCCCTCTGTCCCTCTACTCTGCCCCAGAGAGTGGTCTTCCCCAGTCTGCAGCAGGCAGCTCAGTCAGTTTTCACACGATCTCCAGTGGGGAGGAGCGGGCTGTGAAAGCTGCAGAAGGTAATTCCACTCACCCCTCGGATGGTCTAATCCTTTCCCCAGAGAGATGAGGAGACGCCGCTTCCCGTGAGGCTGTTTCCGTGCCATGCCGGGGCCTGGGTGCGTGGGGGTTGGAGAGGAGGCTGGGGATCATTTCCAAGCCAAGCTTTGCAGCACTGGGGCTCTCTGGGCTTCCCGCTGAGGAGCACAAGCAGAGCGGCTGGGACTCAGCCAGGCGGAGGCACTAGGGGAGAGGTGCTGGGGTGAGATGTACCTTGCACCGGGGCTAGGTGCAGGCCTGACGCACATCCTGCTCTCAGCGGCCCCCGGGAACGGGCCCCGGTTGGGGCGGCAGGAGAGCAGTTTGGCCCGCGGGATGGGGTGAAGGATGAAGGTTCAGAGGCTGGCCATGCAGCTGCGCAAGAAGAGGCAACAGGCCGGTCCTCAGCCCAACCCGGCTGGTGCAGGAGGACAGCAGAGCCCCCTCGGAATCGCTCGCCGCAGACCCATAACCTCTTGCGTTAGGTGAGGGGACATCATCTCCTCCACCTGCTGCCTGGCGTCCCTGGGGCTGGTCCTGGGTTCGCCCCTTGCCTCACTCACACTTCCCTTTGTTCGCTGATAAGTACACAGCCCTGGGCTCCCTCTAGCAGTCAGCCAGTCCCAGCCCTGGGGCTCCCCCTCGTACAGACAGACCCAGCCCTACCAGCAGGCCATGTTGTCTTGCTACCCATGTCCCTGGGAGCTGGGACTGAACACCCCACTACTCAGTCAGGGCTTCTCCAGCTGCCTGTCCCTCCTGGCTCAGCGTGTGCGGGGCTGGGGGCCCGGTACGGGAAAGGGAGAGAAGCCCTAACGTGAGGCCCAGCATAGAATCGCAGAAACGTGGGGCTGGAAGGACCCCGAGAGCTCATCCAGTCCAGCCCCTACGCTGCGGCAGGACCAAATAAACCTAGACCAGCCCTGATGGATTTGTCCAACCTGTCCTTAGAAACCCCCAAGGGAAGGGATTCCACAGCCTCCCTCGGCTGCCTGTTCCAGAGCTTCATCACCCTTCGAGTCCGAAAGCTCCAACCATTTAACCTAAACCCCCCTGGCTGCAGATTACGCCCATTCCTCCTTGTCCTGCCTTCAGTGGACGTGGAGAACAACTGAGCCGATTCCGGCCTCTTTATAACGGCCCTTCACACATCTGAAGACTGATACCAGGTCCCTCGGTCAGGCTCTCGTCTCTAGACGAAACGTGCCCAGTTGATTTAACCTGTCCGCACAGGTCAGGTTTTCTAAACCTTTTACCATTTTTGTTGCTCTTCTCTGGACTCTCTCCAAATTGTCCACATCTCTCCCAAAGTGGGGTGCCCAGGACTGGGCACGGGACTCCAGCAGAGACCTCCCCGGTGCCGAGTAGAGCAGGACAATGACCTCCAGTGCCTTACGTACAACACTCCTGTTAACACCCCAGAGGGATTTAGCCCTTTTCACAACTGCATCACATTGACTCACGCTCAGTTGGTGAGCCTCGGTGACCCCCAGCAGCACCACCACCTAGGCCCCATTTTGTAGCTGGGCATTTGATTTTTCCTTCCTAAGTGTCAGACTTGGCATCTGTCTTCGCTGAATTTCCTCTTGTTGCCGCTCCACGGAAGGCGACCCTGGGGCTGGATGGCGCCGCAGCTCTCACTAGGCCTCCCAAAGTCCTGTCCCAGCCTGCCTCAACTCCCTGCCAACCCCTGGGACGGCGCCTTCAGGGCAGGCCTCCCCTTCCCTTGCTTCAAAGCCCAGCACGGCCCTCCCCGGGTGGCTCGCCAGTGAATGGGAATCCCCGGGAGGCCGAGAAGGTCGGAGGCCCTGCTCCACGGCCTGTGGGTGGGGGAGCACCTAGTGATTCCTCTCAGCTGGCCGGCGGGCCGGGCCGTGCCGTGCCGTGCCGTGGGAGGGCTGGGGAGCTGCACTTTCGGTTTCTGAGTCCCCTGCAGCTGCTTCTGCGGTTTTGTTCCTGTTGCTCTCAGCCCAGCCCTGTTTCAAGGCCTTGGCTCCACTTCCTCGTCTCTCCGCTTCTGCTTTCGGTTTTCACTTCAGTCAGTGGTGAGCTCTCAGCTGGCCCTGACCCCTGCCCAGCGTCTAGCCCCCTGGTGCAGGGCTCCGGGAGGTAAGCGAGCCAGGCAGGTCGGTTGCTCAGGGGGTGGCTTTTGCTCTCCAGCCTGGCGGTGTGGGTTTTTGTGTGCCTGCCAGGCTTCCCTGCTGCCGAGTTCCTCTTCCTGCTGCCGTGTGCTCGGGGGAGAGGTTTGTCAGGCCTGTGCGGAGCCACATGCAGGGACCGCTCGCTCATGTAGCCTCGGGCCGACTGCCTTGCGAGCGGCACGCTTGGAGTCCAGCTTCCTGCTCCATGGGCCAGCGGGGGCTGTGGTTGGGGCAGAGCCCCGGCTCCGCGAGCTGCAGGGCCTGCGGTGCTGACCAGGGCGGCTGGCAAACGTGGCTGGGGTTGGAAGGTCAGCGGGGCAGGGCTTGTACCTGCTGGGTGGTGCACAGCGCCCAGCTCGCTGTCAGCGCTTTCCTGGCCTCGTTCGTCCAGCCTCCGGCAGGAACGGGGATCGGGGTCTGAGGCATGCAGGGCAGGGACTCACCTCAGCACAGGTGGGGCCTGCAAGACCCAGCATGGCCATGGCCTGAAAGCACTGCCTGCACCTGGGCTGATCCAGGGCTGGGCTAACGGGGCTGACTCCTGCAGGGAAACAAAGGTGCCCACACGCCCGCTGGGAAAGCACTTTTAAAAGGAGGGCCGGGCAGCCACCGGGCCTGTACGTCCGCGCTGGGACAGCCCTGCTGGGGTCTGCCCGCCCTCGCTTTGGGAGCAGGGGGCTGCTGGGCCCAGCGTAGCCTAGAGTGGGATGGAGCAGGCGTAATGCACACCCGAGAACACAAGAGGGAGCTCTGGGGCATGGGTGGGGAGAGCTAAGCGGGTGCATGGCTAGTGGGAAGGGAGGGTGCACGTGACCCTACCCGGGTCGCTTGCCCTGGCCACGCCAAGCCCAGCACAGAGCCCCAGGGAGCCCCGGACTCTCCCGCTGCCTTTGGGGGAGGCTGGCAGCACCGCGCCCTCGCCCTGGGTGGCTGGGCTCCCTGCCGGGGAGATGCAACGGCTGCACCGGGCCCCTGCCATCCAGCCCCGCTCCTCCAGCCTGGGTTTGACATGCTTCTGTTTGCTTTAAACAGCCCCGGGATTCTGCTGCGATGGGGACGAAATATGTGGAGGAGACGACGAAGAAAGGTGGGGTCCGTGTGGGGGTCCAGGGAAACGCCCACCGGTGCACGGAGGTTTGGCCTGGACATCCCTAAGTGGGCATGCTGCAGGACACGCTGGCGGAGATGGGGGGCAGAGAAAGCAGATGTTTGTTGGGAGGGGGATTCATTGTTCTGTGAGGCAGCTCAGTGTGGGGCTGCAGTTTGTTGACGGGGGTCCCCCAGAGCCATGGAAGGACCGCTTAATCTTTGCATAAATCTAAATAATGATATTCGTCTATGGTAATTAGCAACTTGGGCAGCAAACAGCTCCCAGCAGCTCCCCTGCCAGGCCCTAGATCAGGGGTCTCAAACTCAAATGACCACGAGGGCCACATGCGGACTAGTACATTGGCTGAGGGCCGCATTACTGACACCTCCCCCTGCCACCCTTGGCCCCGCCCCCACTCCACCCCTTCCATGAGGCCCTGCCCCCATTCCAACCCCTTCCCTGAAATCCCCACCCCAACTCTGACCCCTTCCTGCCCCCAGGGAGGACAGGAGGGGTGTGGGGTGTGGTGGGGGCTCAGGGCAGGGAGTTGGGGTGTGGGGTGCAGGAGGGGTGCGGGGTACAGCAGGGGGTTGGGCTGCAGGAGGGGCTCGGGGGGTGGGCTCCGGCCCGACACGCACCGGGGGCAGGGCAGGCCGCCTGCCTGCCTGTCCCCACACCGCTCCGGGAAGTGGCCGGAACCTGGGGGAGGGGGGGCACAGGGGTCTGCGTGTTGCTGTTGCTTCAGGCACCACCCCCAGCAGCTCCCATTGGCCGGGAACGGGGAACTGCGGCCAATGGGAGCTGCTGGGGGTGCTGCCTGAAGCAAGAGCAACACACAGAGCCCTGTGGCCCCCCCCCGCCCCACGTTCCGGCCGCTTCCCGGAGCGGCAGGGGGCAGGGAGCCTGCCCTTCCCCCGGTGCGCGTCGGGCTGGAGCCGTTGGGGGGGGGGGGCGCGAGGAGCTCGCGGGCCGCAGAAAACAACCCCGCGGGCCGCGTGTTTGAGACCCCTGCCCTAGATGGAGCCCACATGGCTCTTTGAGCAGGTCCTGCCCTGGCCCTGAACCAGGAGACCCCCCAGTAGGGCCCGGTCCAGCCTGGTCTCTTGTGCTCAGCAGAGGAGCTGGCCCTGAAGCTGGCCGAGGCCATCGAGAGAGGGGACAAGGAGCTGGCACTGGAGTGTGCTGGCTGGCTGGCCGAGCAGCGGGCGCCCGTGACGGTGCAGGTGAAGCCGGAGGCCTACCCCAAAAAGGAAATCAGGTGGGTGCCACCCGTGGGCCTCGGGGCAATGGGGATGGTGGCCAGCCGTGGTCACTGTCCCTTTAAAGGGGGTGTTAGGCCACTGCTCCAAGAGACTCCACGGCAGGAGCTTCAGGGGGCTGGGGTGTGGCCACTCACTCCCCAGAGTGGGTGGGATCCCCACTGCAGCTCTTGGGTCTCCCTCCTGTGGCCTTGGCCTCCTTCACTCCATACACCGGGGGCAGCTCCAGTGTGAGGTGTGACCCGGCCAGGAGGCGATGGGGCCTGGCCCCCCTCTAGTGACTAGTCCACAGGAGACGTGAAGGACCTAGGGCATCCTCCTGCCCGGCCCCTGAGCTCCTGGCCCGGGAAGCTAGCCCCCGGCCCCTCCCCTGCTGTTCCCCCTCCCTCACAGCCTCAGCTCGCTGCGCTGGTGGTGCAATGCTCTGGGCGGCGAGGCTGCGAGCTCCTGGGGCAGCGCAGCTGCAGAGCCCCGGCCTGACCCGGTCTCTGAGCTGTGTGGTGGCGTGGCTGGCTCTAGCCGGGCGGCGCGGCTGCCTGGCCTGGTCATCTGGGCGGCATGGTAAGGGGGCAGGGAATGGGGGGGGGGTTTGGATAGAGGGCAGGGGAGTTTGGGGTGGTGGTCGGGGCAGGGGTGTGGATAGGGGTCGGGGCGGTCAGAGGGCAGGGAACAGGGGGGTTGAATGGGGGCAAAGGTCCCAGGGGGCAGTCAGGAAGGAGGGGGGGGTTGGATGGGGCAGCGGGGGGCAGTCGGGACAGGGAACGGGGGAGTTGGATGGGGCAGGAGTCCCGGGGGGGCTGTCAGGGGCCAGGGAATGGGGGGTTGGATGGGGCAGGAGTCCCGGGGAGGCCATCGGGGGCAAGAAGCAGGGGGGGTCGAATAGGGGGCAGGGGCCGGGCCATGCCTGGCTGTTTGGGGAGGCACAGCCTCCCTTAACTGGCCCTCCATACAATTTCAGAAACCCGATGTAGCCCTCAGGCCAAAAAGTTTGCCCGCCCCTGACCTAGGGCTTTGGCTCCTGCGGGGGAGGCTGCATCTGTTGCTCTGATGGTCCCTGGGTCAAAGCCCCTTCTCAGGTCTGCAGCTGTGTGGAACCAAGAGGTGGGCCAGCCCTGGGCTCCGTAGGGAAGAACGAGGCGACGGTGTTTCCCTTCCCAGGAGGCGACTTGGGCCCCATGAGCAGGATGGGAAAGACAGAAAGCAGGAGCACATGAGCTGGAGGCTGAGCGACTGAGGCAGCGCCGGGAGCCATGCACGCACCTTGCGGTGGGACCTCGGGGAGGGCAGCAGGGACACCAGAGCCGCTCTCACTGCCTCTCTTCTTTCAGCTTGTGGGTGGGAGTGGAGGACGCCCAGATGACCACAGTCCCCATCTACCTGCAAGTCAATCCTCATATGACTTTGGCTTCTCTGAAGGACATGGTACGGGCCTGAGGGCTGGAGCCGGGGGCACTGATGGCATGAAGCGTGGAGTGAGACCCTGCGGCCTCGCACAGGGGGCCCTGCAGAGCGTGAGCAAGGCAGCCCCATGTGTCACCACCTCCAGGCTACACAACGGAGCAGCAGAGTGAGCCTGGAGGCAGGTCCAGGCTTAGGCAGGGGGCTCCCGAGAGCAGATGTGGACACCAGGGCCGGTGGTCTCTCTCCACATCCCAGTCCACGAGCTGCTAGTGCGGCCCTGCATCCCTCTGCTCTGTTTGCCTCGAATGCTGCCAGCCGCAGCTGTGTGCCAGACATTGGCTGGTGTGCACCGGGGTGTGTGTGATCACCGGCCTTGCAGGCGGCAGCCGCCTCGTGGGCAGCAAGTAGCCTGCCAGCTGACTGCGGTATCTGTCGTGTTACTGACACCCCCTGCCTGTCCTTCCTGGGCTGCCCTCTGCTCGCCTTGGTTCGTGCGACGTGATCTACTGGCACCTGTTGCCGGTGGGCGCCAGCGTAAGGTCACTGAGTGACTGCCCGCAACAGCACCCGGTGGCCATCTGGTTCTGAACGAGGCCCTCGGTGTCTCTTCGTGTCTCCTGGCCCAGGTATTCCTCCACTACGGCTTCCCACCCAGTGTTCAGCAGTGGGTGGTGGGCAAGAGGCTCCCCGGAGACCAGGAGACCCTGCACTACAACGGCATCCAGCGAGATGGTGACATGGCCTATCTCTACCTCAGGTCTGCCAAAGAGGCCAAGCTCAGCGAAGAGACATTCCAGAGGGAGCGGCAGCGCCGAGTCCTGGCAGGTGAGGCTGGGGGAGCGGCCGAGGGGCTCCCCAAAGGCAGAGCCTGGCGCTGGGGAATTCCAGCGGCCAGGAAGCAGAGGGGACTGCTGGACTTGCGGCTGAGGATGGCTCCCCAGGGCAGAGGGCCAGCGCTGGTCTCAGGAGGAGACGTCCCTTGCGGGGCCACGGCAAGAAGCAGGCGCTGAAATCCGGGGCTGCACCGAGTGCTGGCTCTGGAGAGCCGGCCAGAGCGTGTGGGAGCAGCAGGGAGATCCGTCTCCTGGCAGCAACTCCCTCCCTCTCTCCTCCCTAGAACTGGGCTTCGGAGACATCAGCCTGCAGCCTCGTGGGAGCCAGGAACCGGCGGACGCGGGGCTCGGAGCCGGGGCGCAGGAGCAGGACAGCCTGTGCATGGAGGAGCTGAGGCATGAGCTCTCGCAGGTGGAAGCCGCCCTGCCCCCTGAACCCCCCACGGTAAGGGAGCCCCAGATGCAGGGCGCCAACGCCCCCCCCTCCCGGCTCATTTCTTTCACCTCCCGTGTCCTCACCGTGTTCCTAGGTCGGCTGGGTCTGTCCGAGCTGCACCTACGTCAACAAGCCCACCCGCCCTGGCTGCGAGATCTGCTGCAAGGAGCGGCCCGAGGACTACGCGGTGCCCACGGCTTACCAGCCGGACGAGGAGGAGCTGGCGAGGATGAGGAACGAGGAGGAAGCCATGAGGCAGTCCCAACAGGTTGGAGGCCGGGACGCTGGGGAGCCGCGGCGGCTCAGCGCCGCCACTGGCTGCCGGGGCAGATCCTGTCTTGTGCACTGTCGCCGTAAGCAACCGTTGTAATGAGGCTCCTGGTGCGGCACCCTGCCCTGGCTCCACTAGGCTGGTCCCTTGGGGCATCTCTTGGCACAGGGTTCCCTGCACAGAGACTGACCAGGAGGTGGGGATGGGGGGCACCGGTTCTTCCCTTCTTCCTCTAGACCAGCTGCACGCCCGGCTGGTGCCGCTCAGCTGCACAGGGCCCTGGGGCGCTCGTCAGGGGAGCTGCCCTCATGCTACACCGGTTCTCCCCGCGGCTCATGGGGCTTGTCTAGCCTGTGGCAGGAGGACTCGGGAGCGCAGCGTTACACTGAGCTGGGAGGCCCGGGGCGGCTAGCACCGGCCTCCGTCTGAGCTGGGCAGGGAGAGCCACTCTGGCTCGGGAGTGAGAGAGCGGGGCCTGCGAGGGGGGTCCGTCGCTCCCAGGCTGCTCCGGCAAGGCAGGGGCCCCAGGCAGGTCCAGCCGCTCACGGTGCCTCCTCTCCAGCAGCGGGGCCTGTAGCCAGGAGCGGCGCCAGGGTTTTTGGCACCCTAGGCGGGGGTCCTTCCGCGCTCCCAGTCTTCGGGGCACTTCGGCGGTGGGGGTCCTTCCGCGCTCCGGGTCTTCGGGGCACTTCGGTGGCGGGTCCCGGAGCGAGTGAAGGACCCGCCGCAGAATTGCCGCTGAAGACCCAGAGCGCGGAAGGACCCCCCGCCTCCGAATTGCCACCGAGGGTGGCAAAATGCCGCCCCCCCCAAATCCTGGTGCCCTAGGCGACTGCCTAGGTCGCCTAACTGGAAGTGCCGGCCCTGCCTGTAGCCCAGACCTCGCCAGGGCCAGCAGCGGAGCCATGCTCTGCACCAGAGCCAGACGAGCCTCATTTCCGGGCTCTTTCCAGCCTCCACGCCATGCTGCCGAGGGGCCTGCCCCAGCTGGGCCCTGCTGCGGGGCAGGGAGGTGCAGCCTGCAGCGGCCGGCTGCAATGGAGCTGGAAGGCTGCAGCTGCGTGTTGCTCCTGGTTTTAAGGGAGCAGCGTGGGGCGCGGCAGGCTGGGAAAGCTCCCGTCACAGGGTGGGCACGCAAGGGAGAGCTGTGGGCGCCGGGTGATGGCAGAGGAGGCTGAGTCCCTCCCCGAGTCCCTTCTCCCTGTTTATTTGCAATGACTCCAAAGGAGCAGGCCTGAGCGGGGGAAGGAGGGTCCAGGCCCTGCCGCAGCCTCCTTGGGGGCAAGTCACTTATTGATTGGTTGAGGCACCCAAATCGTTTGGGTGAGCTGGGCCTTAGTTCCCCCTCTGGACAGCTCTGAAATCCATCGATGGCTGGAAGTCGCTGCTGGGATACTAATGACTTCCCCTCCCCCACCCCACTGGCCAGGCTGGGGTGGGGCACCTCGGGCACCATTTATCGGAGACAGACAGGGAGGGAGGGAGGCTGAGAGGACACTGAAAGCAAACCCTGGTTTGAGATAGGCTAGAGGAAGCAGTAGTCCCCCTGCTGCTGAATGGGGCTCCCCACCTAGCAGGTGAGCACTGGCTTATTGTGACTTTGTTCTCATAGCACCAAACTGTGCGACTTCACTAATTCCTGCCTTTGAGCTTCCAGCATTGTGGGTGGCCAAGGCGTTGGCTTGTTTCCTGGGGTAAGTCAGAGCAGCCCAGGGGCTGCTCTAACTTACACCCAGGCTGTAACCATCCCTAGGGGACAGACTGGCAGCCCAGAACAGCTGGAGCACAAAGCATGCTGGGGTCAGGTCCCTTCCCTGGCCACTGCTCTGGGAGGCCCTTTCACTGTCCCTGCAAGCCTGGGGAATCCCCATTGCACAGAGCATTCAGCAGTGGGGATCCAGCTGGTTGTCGGCTGCTGGGGTGGCATAAAGAGGCCAGGGCACAGCCCCGTAGGGGTCAAGGTTCCTGATAGGAAATGTAAGCGAAGTGCCCCACCCACCAGACCCTCCTGTTGACACTGGCTGTTCTGTCTGCCTAGGTGACAGAGCAGCAGAAGATTGAGAACTACCAGCACATCCTGCAGGTGGACAGGCAGAGCCTGGTGCCCGCCGCTGAAGTGATCGAATGTCCCATCTGCTTTGTGACCCTGCAGCCTGGAAAGGGGGTGACCCTCCGGGAGTGCCTGCACTCCTTCTGCAGGTGGGTCGGCCCTAACCCCGGCCCCTCTCCCGCCCAGCCGGCCTGCGCCCGGGAGCCCTGGCCCTTTTCCCGCCCAGCCGGCCGGCCTCTGCCCCGGTTCCTCTCCTGTCTGGCTTCTGCTCTGGGAGCCCCGGACCCTCTCCTGCCCAGCTGGCCTGCACCCGGGAGCCCTGGCCCCTTTCCCGCCCAGCTGTCTGGCCTCTTCCCCAGCCCCTCTCCTGCCCAGCTGGCCGGCCTCTGCCCTGGTTCCTGTCCTGTCTGGCTTATGCCCTGGAAGCCCCGGACGGCCTGTACCAGGGAGCCCCAGCCCCTCTCCCGCTCAGCCAACTGGCCTCTGCCCTGGTTCCTCTCCTGTCTGGCTTCTGCCCTGGGTGCCCCGGCCCCTCTCCTACCCAACCGGCCTGCGCCCGGGAGCCCCGGTCCCTCTCCCATCTGGCCTCCACCCCGGGAACCCTGGCCCCTCTCCTGCCTGGCCGGCCTGTGCCCAAGAGCCCAGGCATCCACCCTGGGAGCCTTACCTGCCTCAGACCCTCCTAGGCTTTGCCAGCTGCTTTGTGTCTCTGGGCTAGAGCGCCTGGTTGCACACCCCTGGCTGGAAGAGCTGCCCAGCTGGGCTGCGCTAAGACGGACAGAGCGTTCCCCCGGCTCACTTGCCAACAGGGAGGGCGTCGGCAGGGTGCCCCATATGGCCAAAGATCGGTAGCCCGACAGGGAACTAGCCTGGTTGAATCATGTTAACAGGCTATGCTCCTGCTTTAGCCTTCTTAGCCTGGCCCAGCTGTGTAGGGTGGAACGGACTGGCCTGGGCTACTCAAAAATCTATGAGGATCCCATCAGCTGTGGGGAGCAGGGGCTCTGCCAGACAGGAACCACTAGCAGGAAGGGAAAAGCAGTGTGTCAGGGCCCCTCCCCCGCCATGGTGTTCATCACATCTTAACCCACCCCCGCGGGGCCCAGTCACGGGTGGGATTGTGCTCCTGCTCGACCCAAAGGCTTCAAACTGACCCCTGAGTAGGAGAAAACGGGACTGGAGACGGTGTGCTGGGCGCTGACGGGCCCCCGTGCCGGAGCAGGGATACAATCATCACCACCCTGTTCCAGCCTCTCTGCTACCCCCCTTCCAAGCCCTCAGCCCTGCTCGTTTATGGGCACCTGCCATCAATTAGCCACCTACCTGCAGGGGCTTTAACTCCAGCCACTAACCCTCTGCATGACAAGCTCCCACCCAGAGTGATTGGAGATGGGCAGGCACCAGTGGCTGTGCTGCCCAGCCGAAGGCTTCTAGTCCCTGGCAGCCAGTGCCCCCCGATCAGCTGGGAGCTTGTTTCAGTGCAGCAGGGACCTAGTGAGGGAGAGCTAGGAGCCCCCTCCAGTGCTGTGTACCGTTCAGACCTGGGATTGCTGGGGTGCCAGATTACGTACAAGTCAGTCCCCCTTGGGGGGCCAGTCGCAGGTAGGTGGAAAGGAGCCAATCGCTGTTGTAATCTTCTCTGTACCCACCCAGGGACTGGGGGCCCCAGGCAGGCTGCGTACGCTCCCCTGGGTTATCCATGGGCCCGGTCTGCTGGTGGGATTCTGCTCCTTATCTCAGGCCTGGCTCTGCTGCTGCCTCGGTTGGCCCCTAGGTGACCCCATCCAGCTCAGTCTTCAAGCAGCTTGTGCCTTGCTTGTGTCTCCTCTGACCCCTGGCTCCCTCCAGGGACTGTCTGAAGGGGACGATACTGAACAGCCTGGAGCCTGAGGTGCCCTGCCCGTACATCGACGAGAAGTACTCCTGCACAGGACAGCTGCTGGAGCGTGAGATCAAAGCGGTATGGGCCAGGAGCAGGAGGGGACAGAGCCAGGGGTGGGGTGGGAGCTGCAGGCACAGCTGAGGCGGGATACAACCCAAGAAAGCGATGGCATGCCAGCGTGGCCGGGTCCTGTAGGCTGGGCTAGAGCAGGGAACGGGGGCAGGGGGATGTGGGGCAGGGAGAAGAGGATGGGGCTGTTATCAGTCACTGCCAGGGGATGGGCGAGTGTCTCGGTGCTGATGGAGAGGGTTGGGTCCCACTCACAGCTCCTGAGCTCTGCCGAATACCAGCACTTCCTGGACCGGGGCGTCTCCATCGCCGAGAACCGCAGCCGGTCCAGCTACCACTGCAAGACCACGGATTGCCGGGGCTGGTGCATCTTCGAGGATGACGTGAACGAGTTTGCCTGCCCCGTGTGCCAGAAGGTGAACTGCCTGCTCTGCAAGGTGAGATGCCCCCTGCCTCCGCCACAGCAGCTTTGCAGCTTCCCAGGCCAAGAGGCCAGGACGGGTGGAGGGGAGTTCAGAGCCCGCTGGGCTCTGCGAAGCCAGGTGCCATGGGGCATGGCTGTATTCGGAGAAGGGGTGGGGGGATCCTGGCACCAGCAGGAGGGGGATCCAGCTTTAAAGCAGCTGGTGGCCTTTGAACTGTGTGTGGCAGCAGTGACCAAGCTCACGAGCCCTGCATGGCTGCCCTGGAACTGGCGAAGGCCCTGCCCGGGGCTTTAGACGAGCCCGGAAGGAGCGGCCTGTTTAAGGCACGTCCATGCAGCCCTAGAGCCATGGTGTCACATGCTGCCTGCCATGGTCCCTCAGTGCAAGGGACAGAGGTAGATGGAAAAGAGAACAGCATTCCTAGAGGTGCTAACAGGGCCAGTGTGAACCTGCGCCGTGGCCTTCGCTCTGCCAACAGCAGCCCGTCGCCACTGCCCTGTGCTCCATCCTTCTCCTGGAGCCAGCCCCAGCTCACTCTGATCTTCCCCTCAACTCTGGTCACTTATCCTTGCCCCACAAAAGAGGCTTGGAATGTGTATGCTAGCCCTGCCCTGCAGTGTGAGGGGGTGCCCCAGGGTCCCACTCCATCTCCGTGACCTCAGGGTTGTGTTGGAGGAGATGTGTTCCCCTAGGCACAGTTGCTGTAGCTGGGGGGAGGGGACCTGTGCTGGCCCCTGAGCCGGGGAGCAGCAGCTGGGACACACGGCCAGGCGGTAGCACCTGCTCCAGGAGGCGTGTTAGAGCCTGGTGAACTAGCAGGGTGCTCTCCCCAGGCCATTCACGAGACCATGAACTGCAAGGAGTATCAGGAAGACCTCAAGCGCCAGGCTAACAACAACCAGGCTGCCAGGCAGACCACCGAGATGCTGACGGTAAGAGCCCACTCTGGCCTGGCCCTTTTGTGGGCAGAGCGAGGCGGTGGGGAGAGGGGGCAGGATAGGAAGGGGCTGCAGGCTAGCACTGAACACACGGCCAGGGAGGTACAGCAGATTTAATGGTAGAATCGTATGACCATTCTCAGCCCTTGCTGCGGCTTTAGGAAAGGCACTGACCAGGCGGATGGGGAGGGGGTTGTAGAGAGTGGGAGATAGGTGAACGCCCCGGCTTCCCACTGCCAGCCCAGGGGAATGTGACTGCACCAAGAGGGGCTCGCATGGCTCGGCTCCTGGGCATTCTGCTACCCGGTGGGTGCAATGGTCCAAAATGAGGGAGTATCGGCTTTAGAGAGCCAGGTAAAGCGACCAGTCCACTGATTCTGAGCTCGGGGCAGCCCAGCCGCTAGCCCCATCAGCTGCAAAGGGCAAATCCCAGTGAGTGTCTTAGGTGGCACTGCTGGGGATCCGGGGTAGGAATGGGAAGTCGGGGCCATCAACTCCCCCGTACACGTTAGTATTGCCCTCCTCTCCTTTCAGCTGATGGTCCAGAGCGGGGAGGCCATGTACTGTCCCACCTGTAAGATCGTTGTCCAGAAGAAGGACGGCTGTGACTGGATCCGCTGCACTGTCTGTCACACGGAGATCTGCTGGGTGACCAAGGGGCCGCGCTGGGGGCCAGCGGTAGGTTTGGCGCATGAACCAGCACGTGCGACTGTAGGTTCGACCTGGGGAATCCTGCCATTCTGCGGAGTCGCTTGCCCCAGAATTAAAAAAACCTGCCCAACACAAGCCCCTGTGGCTCTGCCTTCTCAAGTCTGCAAACAGCCCAACCCACGTGCTCAGAGAGGCATGAACCACTGGTCGCAGCAGGGCTGTTCACTCTGAAGCCTAATTGTGACCATTTAAATGACTGACTGCTGCTGCACACAGCTGGCCCTCGGGACGCTGGAGTGGCTGGCGGGGGTGCAGGAGCCAGCCAGGGCTGTCACGGCTCACAGCTCAGCTGGCTGCAGGAGTGGGGAGTTACTTCCAGGGCTCCCCCCATTACATTTTCCTTCCTCTCCCACCTCACAACGGGGAGGAAAATGTGATTTCCTCCCCCCCCCCCCCCAGTGCCAAGAGCCTTGCCTGCCTCCAGCCTGCCCAAAACTCAGCCCTGCCAGCAGCCTAGCACGCATGCCTGGCTCCCGGTCCCACGTCCTGACAGCCTCTTACCCCTCCCTCCACTGCCTGCATGTGCATCATCTCTCCTCTGCTTTCCTCTCCCCAGGGCCCGGGCGATACCAACGGTGGCTGCCGCTGCAGGCTGAACGGCGTTCCTTGCCATCCCCACTGTCAGAACTGCCACTGAGCACGCAGGAGCCAAGAGGAAGGAGGGGGCGGCCGCTCCCTACACAGTGCTCCAGCCCCATTGGGGGGGCACACAGCTCCCCTCGAGCCCCTGGCTACTCTCTCTACCATGCCTTCACAGCCTGGGGCCTGGCTCCCTGAGCCCACCACAGACTCATGTGTCCGCTCGGGGAAGGACTGCGCAGGTCAGCAGCCATGGGGCGAGCGGAGCGTTCCTGTTTCATGGATTGAAGGCGGACTTAGGAGAAGGCTGGGTGCTGGCTGCCCCGTGCTGGGAACCCAGTGCCCTGTGGAAGTTGAGGGGGGCCTACCTCACAAGCTGCTCCCTTCACCTGTCCTGCTGCAGCAGCTGTGTAGAAAACGACCGGGCTGGGTTGGAACAGCAGGCTGGGAACATTCGGGCTCCTCTAGTTGATGGAGGTGGCAGGTACATTAGTGGCCCTCAGGCTTGAAGGAGCCCTTCCTCATCCCTTAGGGAAAACATGGCTCCCCCTCGCCTACAGGTCAGCATTGCAGCCTGAGCCATTTGGCCAGCCACAGTGAGAAAGGTTTTTGGTGCCCCTCATCTCCCAAGTGGCCAAGCAGAAAAAAGGGCCAGCCCCTTAGAGAGGAGCAAAACTGCTGAGCAGTGCAGGGGACTGCCTGGGCCCCCACCCCTCCACCTGGCTCCAGTTACAGCCTCCAGCCTGCCCGCTGCAGCCCATTGGCACTTCTCAGGCAGCTGGTGCAGCAGGACCCAGCAGCCGCCAGCCCAGCTGGCGTGCACGGTACTCTCCAGGGCACTGGGGACAGACCGGGCAGTGTTGGGTTCTTAGCAGGCAGCTTTCGTTGCCCTCCACCTGGATTTACAATAAAGAGCTGCAACTTTTGGTCCGGAAGTTTGTGTGTCAACCCAGTGGTGCTGTGCCTGGTTATGCAGATATGGCATCTACTGAAGGGCAGGTTTAGCCTGCCCCTCGCACATCAGTGGGTTGTAGACGTAACTCCCAAACTAGGCCAAACGATTCCTGCTGGGGAGGGGCTGGTGTCTGTCAGCAACTGGTCTCACTGTGAGAGAATCTCCACACAAGCTGCCAAGTCAGCATCGCTCCATTGCCGTCCATGCTGATTTATCCCAGCCAAGGAGCCAGTCTGCTGGCTAATGCCTGAGCCGTGCACGAGACCCCCCTGGGCTCCTGGCTAGTCATGGGTAAATCCCACTTCCCTTTACAAGATCTGGCTACCTGGCTTTTCCTTCGGGGTGAAGTCCGACTCCTTTCCTGGCCTATGCTGCTGGATAGCAGAACGCTGATAACGAGCTGCTGTCGTGCAGGGGTGGGCTGCGTTTCACCAGCGGAGGAAGTGATACGTCCAATTTAACATTCCTACAACATAAACTTTAAACGTGATTATGAAAATTACTTCTTGAGAGGAAGTCACAGCATGCTAAAAATAGCACCAGCCCACTCTAGTAAACCGCGTGTCTGAAACACGTCATGGAGCTGGGGAGAGGCTCTGCAGGGCTCAACAGAGCAGGGCTGCTAATGAACTCAAACCCAGCTGTAGATGGTGCTGCCAGGCTGGGGTCAATGGGAGACGACTGGATGGGTGCCACACAGCCTCCTTTCGAGGTGGCTAAGAGTGACATGGGCAACATGACCAGCATCTCTGACCATGGCACTAAGTGCATTGCAGCCTCTCCCTGCTCACCCGCCCATTCTCTCGTCCTTTCACCTTCCTCAGTTCAGAAGTGAACCTGTGGCAAATAGGGAACTAGAAACAATGAAGCTCCTTGAGCAGCGACACATCTGAGTCGGTGGCAGAGCTGGAAACAGAACCACAGGGTGACTCACTCACTGCACAGCATGACCAGCTCCAGGCTCGGGGGAGACAGAAAAGCCAATTTTGCACCGCACAAGCTACAAGCCACGTGCCTGGGCAGCCAGGAGACCTGCTAGCCCCGAGGCGCACTCACACGGGGGAGGTATGTGGTAACCGGGTAGTGCTGTTTATTTTACACAGTTCTGTACAAAACAGCATTTACACGTGTATACAAGTCTTTATACAGAGTAAACCACCTGAAGAGAACAGTGTCTTTCAGCAGGGGCCATCCTGGCCTCCTCCATGAAGGTGTGAAAAGAGAATGAAACGGTTACGTTCCTGGAGAGCCTGAGTGCAGGCCAAGCGCACCAGCTGTCAGTCTCCAGGGTCCCTCAGCCACAGAAGGGTACTGAAGGCTCAGTAACCCCTCCAGGCGGGAATGGGCT